AAAAAAAAAAAAAAAAACAAGTGAGAGCACAAATTCTCAATGACGCCTTATTAGGCTGTCCCATTTGCGACTGGGTCTATCAAGAATGAGAGCAGGGGGGCAATTTGAGGCTCGGCGCAGCACGGCAAGCTGATTATCCACTCCTCATACTTCGTAGTCTGGGTAATAGCTACGCCAAGCCTCCTAGGAGTTCTTTGATTGCAGGGGAAATTGTCCAATAAGATTCTCGAATTCTGTGAAGTATTACCTATATAAGTTAAGACTGCTTGGTGGAGATTTTGGAACTATTACCCAGACTACGAAGTATTCCCAAAAGCTCTCAAACTTCTAAGGCCGCGATTGGACTGACCGTGCCGATCCGGCGTCTCACTTTTCCTTTTCCTTTTCCTTTTCCTTTTCCTTTTCCTTTTCCTTTTCCTTTTCCTTTTCCTTTTCCTTTTCCTTTTCCTTTTCCTTGTCCTTGTTCTCCTTTTCTTCCCCCACGTAGATAATAGCTCGGCACGTTACGAAGTACGCTGCTGCAACCAGCTGCCTGCCGATAGAAGAGCCGAGGGAAAGAGATGGGTCCCATTCCCCCGCTTAAATCGAATCCAGGGACCAGGGCTCCTGCAGATAATCTTAGCGCTACACATTTGGGTTGCTCTCAGAGGTCGGTTGAGAAAACTAATGCAAACCGTACGTGCATGAGAGCACAGCTTCCAATTCCGAACCGAGTTGTCTGTCAGCTTAGCAACATACATGCGGGGGTGCAGCCGGCAACGCAAAGTTTGTTTTCGCCCTGACCTGCCTGTTTGCAGCTTCTAGATGAACTTGTTATCCAACTCCGTCTTTCGTATTGGACTGCTATCTCAGTCTGCGTCCAATCAAAAAGCTGCTTTATTTGCTTAAATACAAGAACGTCCACCATCCTTCCCCCACTTTCATCATAAATACCTTAAATCTTCCCACACACATTAAAAGGAGCACTTCATAATGCGTCTCAATGTCTTGGCTCTTATATGGACCGCAGCCTCGTTAGTAACCTCCGCACCGGTAACTTCTTTATCAGCCGAGTCAAATTCGACGTCAACTAGTAGCGGCATCACCCTTGATGAACTTCAGTCGCAAGCCAATGCTAATATCCTGGCGATTCTCGATAAGAGACACGAAGACCTGACCAGTCGGGGCCAGCCAAGTCCGTGCAACAGAAACACAGTGGCAATCCGAAAGGAATAGTACGCTGAGCTTACCTAGTTCTGGGCGCGCACAAGCTGACAACTTGGTCACTTAGTGGGAAACTCACATCAGTAGAGAAGATCAACTATATTAACGCAGTTAAATGTCTCCAGCAGAAGTCACCGCGGACACCGTTGTCAGCTGCTCCAGGAGTAAGAACCCGGGTTAGTCTGACCACCTCTGCTCCAAACATTCCGCACACTTTCTAAAACTTGTTGCAGTATGACGATTTTGTTGGTATGCTTCTTATCAGGCACACGACTATTCTCTCGCATCCTCTAATTTCACTCTAGCCACGCACATCAACCAAACTCTCCGCATCCATTACACTGGAAACTTCCTCTCCTGGCACCGCTATTATGTATGGATCTATGAAAGGTCCCTCCGTGAAGAGTGCGGCTACACTGGTTACCAGCCCTACTGGGACTGGTCCAAATACGTAGCAGCCCCACAAGATAACCCAATGCTTGATGGCTCATCGACGTCCCTCTCAGGCAATGGAGTCTTTGTTCCCAACCGCAGCGACGTCATTCTTACTTCCCCAGGCGTTGCCTCGCTCTACCTTAAGCCCGGCCTAGGAGGTGGCTGCATCTACAACGGTCCGTTTGCAAACCACACCGTGAATCTAGGACCTGTCTCGTCGGGCACCACGGGCGTAGACGGAGGCCTGGGCTATAATCCGCGCTGTCTCTCACGCGACATAAACCCCTATACTGCAGCCCGCTTTCTCACCTCGTCCGACGTCCTCTTCATAATGTCGCAGACCGATATCTACGACTTCCAGATGAACCTTCAAGGCATCCCAGGAATTGGGATCGGTGCGCATGGCGGCGGCCATTACACGGTGGGCAACGACATGTCAGATTTGTTTTCTAGTCCAAATGACCCTTCGTTCTTCGTCCATCATGGGCAGGTGGATCGCGTGTGGACAATTTGGCAGTGGTTGGATCCTGTGAATCGAGCGTACGCACTGGCACAAACTAACACGTATTTGAACTCGCCGCCAAGCGCGAATACGACTCTCAACGATACGGTACAGCTGGGCTTTGCAGGAGGGGAAACCAAAGAGATTGGGCAGTTGATGAGTGTGATCGAGGAAGACTTCTGCTACATTTATGTTTGATCTGTAAATACTTAGAATTCTGAGTTTCTTATCGGCCTACAAGTAGTAATGATTATCAGACTTTGCTCTAGTTAACAATAATAGAATAATATACATTATATTATTACTGGTTATCAGCCCGCCTCTATGCCTGTGTCCAGGGACAGTCGCCGCCGAATGTAGCTATTTTGATTGCTATCGTTTTGCGTTAATCCTCACCTCTCTTTACGTGTTTGCTAAGCTGTGGCTCATAACTACTTGCTGCTTTTCTCACCCCTGCGTCACTTCATGCTCACCCGTGCTCACTTGCAGGTCAGCATTGCCTCAAGTTCTAGGCTGCTCGTTTTTTCCCCCATGGGGCCCACGAGGACGTGCGGCGGGAGGAAGCTTAAGTAGTATAGGCTTTAATAAAGAGGTGAAAAAAAAAGGCCAGGCTTAAATAATCGGAAACGGAGCTTTTTAGTAAAATTACTCGCGGATTTTTAATTGATGCAAGGATCTAAACATGTCGTGGGGCCCCATTTGGGGGGAAAACGAGCAGCCTAGGGCCCTCAACTCTCCTCACCTCTGCTCGCCCACCCCTAGTATTTCAACACTGGTCGTTCTTATTATAATGCTAAGGCAGAGATGATTCTCTAGATAGTTAGCTTTTGACAAGAAGGATCGCAGGGGGTAAGTGGAGGGTGATTTTGCACCCCTGGAAGCGCTTCCAATCCTACAGTTGCGAGCACGTTGGTGTCGAAAATTAGGGATCGATGCCCCACTCTTTAAATGATGATCGGCGGGACACCATAAAGGAGGGGATTCGCATTGTAAAATAATGCTTCAATTAATGAAGAAGATTACTCACAGACACCTCCGTTTGACAGTTGGTTTGTAGGACTGCACCTTAGAGTGCTCGTGCCTGAAATACTATCATTTAGCCTACTTCAGGGTGGCGCACGTGCCATATTAGTGCTGTAGGTTGGAGTACTCTTACTTGTAGTACTGCAGTTCGGACTGCTCCGGTTAGAAGTATACAGATTGGGTCTACTAAAGAATAGAGCACTTCCAAGTTTCATACAGAGCGAGTAGGTACTCTAACCAGTAAGTACTCTAACACCGCTCGCTGCTCTTGGGTCATATCTACCTTGGATTTTGCCCTTTAACATCATTCGATATGACTTCTTCTCGGAAACGCGGTCCCAAAAGGAAAGGCAATCCCCAATGTATTCATTCAGTTGCTTGAGGATTATCAACGAGGATAGGCTGTTCAACTTATCGCTATCCAGCGCGAGCAGGTGGAGCTAGTTTGGAAGCATCATTTTTCAAATACTGGAGGCCGCCGCAGCTGGAGGCAGGTTGTTGAGTTTAAGTCCGCGTTGGACTCGTACGATGTTCGACGCGAAAGATTCTGGAATGGAGCTGGACGAGGGATCTGCTGGTAAAGTTCGAGGAGGTAGATCGCAAAGCGAGTGCTGATGTTTAAATCTGATCGAACAACCATATGATTGTGGTGGACAAACTGAATCTTAAATTCATGATGACGATGAAGTGAATGTCACAACCCGTTACCTACGCAACATTGCGTGAGTGCATTGGCGAGGTGTGTATTTCAATCTGCTTGTTTATCGTAGCAATCGCAATGGGATTACCTAGCTTGCAATTGCGCTATACTGTAGATGCAGTAGCTGGCCATGGGTATCTTGAAGTTGATTGCGAGGCATCTCTTTAATTGAGGGGAATATCGCCACGTGGCACATCCTAGCCTGGAACTTCCTCCTGAGATCGAGAAATCCAGTGATATTTTCCTAGAATCAATCGAAGAAAGAATTTGTTCCAAGACACAAGTATGCATGAAAAGTGGCATCGTGATCGTGTTGCAGTGGCTCGAAACGACAGGTTTCACGGAATGCTGGCGGCATTACTCAGCTGCCTCGCGTCCCGCAACCGTGCCCCGTAGCTCGTGTTTTAATTCGTTATTTTCTCATGCAGCCACAAAGTTGATATAAATTTAAATAAGCATTTTTACTTCATCAACCAGTACAAGGCACTGTAAGGACTGCCACTCAAAATCATTTGAATTTGAACTAATAGTGCATAAGTTGGCGGAGTGGTTAACGCGATGCCCTGCTATGGATTCGTCCAAGCTGTCAGGCATTTCCTTCGGGAGCGTGTGTTCGAATCACACAGGTGTCGATAAATTATTCTTTTGGTGGCCGTTTCCGTGTGCATTGTTCTATTTTTCTTTTTTTGTTCGAACGCAAGCGAGACTCGACAGGGAAAATTGCATGCCCGACTATCCTAAGGCACAATATTTTTCCGGGTACCTTTCCCGCAGGTGTGAATCTAAAAGAATGGTGTTCAAAACAAAAATAGATAATGAAATAGTGATTCTTTTTCTTGAATTCAAAATAATCGCAAATACCTGCTTTCTTCCTTTTCGTTCTTCAAGTATCGCAAAATATCAAGTGACTCAATCTCTCACGTCACATACTATCTCGCTTGTAATATCACGTGACAATACCCTCCAAATGCACTCCGTTAGGATTGACGTGACAGCCTGCTGTTGAGGGAAGTCGCGAAGTTTATCCATTACTTGGTGGAGTTTAGAGGGGGAATCCCCTATGAACTTGAATCTCCTCTTCCTGACCCGATGCCGACCCCGCCATTCTACCCGATCTTAGTCGAAGCCGAGACGCACCATCCTTTGGGTGAATGTACAAGACCATGCCTTATTTTTAAAGATCAAAAATTCTGCGGATTCAAAACTTTATGCTGATTCGTTGTTCTTCGACTCAAAGTTTGAAAGATCGGCACGACGCCAACGATGGAATTGACGTAAAGCTCGCGGGTAACTACCTCATCCAGCATGGGCAAGGAAATATCTTGGGGAACATATACATCACAAATACTGCATCAAATCTCTGCAAAACCAGCAGATATTTACACGCGAAGTCCAATCTGTGGCACAAGATGACGGCATCTGAAGAGAGTCAAGAGACGTCGTACGTTCTACATTCAAACAAAGCAGCAACAGAGAGCGAGAGGTAGGGTTCCAACCAACGCCGGAAACAAAAGTAAGCTAATATCCAGCTTCGAAGACCCGACCTCCAACATCGCTTCATATCCTCCTTCACACCAGAAGGCTTCATTTTTCCCTCCATCCCGGAAGAGAACTCGTTCGCATCGCCGACGTAGCAACTGGCACCGGGTGGCACTTCCGTCTCAAAGACCTCACAAATGCTGAACCCAATCCCAGCATTTGGCTGCGAGTTGTCTTAGCAGCCTTGCCTGATGCACCGACAAGCAATTCCAAATCACGAACCTACACTGGATTCGACATTTCCTCGTCATTCTTCCCCTCAAAGCCTGAACCAGGGCTTCAATTCGTTGAACATGATATCCTGCGCCCATTCCCTGCAGAGCAAATTGGGAAATATAGTCTCGTGCGTGTCCGGCTCTTGGCCGCTGCATTGAAAGCAGACCAGATCCTCATCGCAGTCCGTAACGTGGTCGATCTGCTAGCGCCCAGCGGATACATTCAATGGGGACGAATAGTCTTAGCCTCAAGTCTCTTTGGCTTCCGAGAAGCCCGAGACTAGGAAGAGGCATCAATCACTAATCGATTTTGGGAAGAAACTTGGCTTCGTGGAAAACATCCAGGAGGTGTTGAATAAGGTATTTCAGAGGAAAGAGATAAGATTGACGGATGTGAGGAAGCAGACTTATCATGGTGAGGAAACTTTGACAGACGAGACAAAGAGGGATATGGGAAAGACGAGGAAGATGATTAGAACATGGTGACTAGAGAGCGTAAGAGTGTTGACTCCGGTGCTTGATGGCAAGAAGCCCGATGGCAGTCAACGGACTCCAGAAGCGATCCAGGAGATTTTAAAGAAGAGAAAGAAGCGGCTCTGAGAGATTGGTATCCTGAGGATGGTATTCTAGGTGTCCCTTCGGTGATGGTTTTTCGGAGGAAAGCGGGGTAAATTTGGCATTGATCTGAATAATCTCAACATTGCCAGTTACAGATAGAAAGCTATTATTAAACTAGGGTAAGCCGAGACAACACTGATAAAATTGAACTGAAAAATGACAAAAAGAACTATAATTTCAAAATATGCAGAGCGTTCGCAACTCGTTTGGCTCGTGAATATGGGTAACTGCTGACATGTTATTGGTTTTTTGAAAATATTAGCAGGAAGTTGAAGCATAAAAGGCATTCGATTGAATGAGCGGGCCCTCAAGCAGAGCTGGGCCGAGATTATATACAGTATGCCATTAAAGAAAAGACGATGACCAGCCGAAGTAGAAAAAGGGTCTAGAGTAGGGCGAATCACGTGTTGACGCGTCACCCCACCTTCTTTTTTGGGAACCTTTTATCTTCCATCCTTCATCTTCGGCCTCAGCCTCGACAACAGATTGTATCTTCAGGCTGCATTTATTTCTTTCGCCTCTTCTTATACTTGGCTCCATTTCTTCTCTTCATCACCAATCCGCCCCTCCCGCCATACTTCTCCCACATGGCACAATGCAATCTCTGCAACAACCTCGAAAAAAGGGACGAGGATGATGTCCGAGCAGCTTTTGACTTCACTCCAAAAGAATTACTCGAATCAACAAAGAACAAAGATTGTAGCTCATGCACTCTTATCCTAGAAGGACTTCGCTGCTATGAGAATGAGACATGGTTGTTCGAACACGATGTTCGTCGTGTTTACGCACGATGTTTAGGCAAGGACGATGAAAGTTTATCCTTGGAAGTGTTCTTCTGTGATGATCGGCCGAAACTTGTTCTTGAATTCTTTTACAAAGACCAAGAGAATCAAGGTGAGAATATTTCCGTCATTGCTGACTGTGAAAGCCTCGTCCTGCAACACGTTTGTGCGAACCTCGACTCACTCATTCTTGTAGAAAATATCGAGCACTCTATTTTAGCTATCAAAGCCCGAAATTCGATCAGCGATCACCCATTGTCGGCTTCCGGTCTACACTGGGCTACTTCGCTTCTTGAGGCCTGCCTTGGCGAACATACTCTGTGTCCTTCGAATCGAAGCGTCAAACTTACACGGCGAATTCTTGCTTTCGATAGAGAAGATGAGGACATTATCGCAGTCAGAATTGAAGAGGATGTAATAGAAGGAAGCCGTTATATCGCCTTGAGTCATTGCTGGGGTGCAACGCAAACCTGCGTCACTACATCACAAAACATATCGGAGTTCAAAAATGCTATACCTTGGACAGCACTTCCGAAAACCTTCCAGGACAGCATCGTATATAGCCTTGCACTAAGCGTTCGTTACCTTTGGATAGATGCATTGTGCATCCTTCAAGACGATCCAGAGGATTGGGAAATCGAGTCCAGTAAAATGAGCGACATCTACCGGAACTCATTCATGACCTTGGCGGCCACGGCTTCGAAGAACGGTCAAGGGGGATGTTTTCCATCGAAAAAAGACATGCCAAACGAGTATGAACTCGACTCGTGCCACTCTCAAACAACGATGATTATGGTTAGAGAGAAAATCAAACATTGGACAGTCTCCCCAACTGCTACAACACTGGAACACCATCCCCTTCTTACCCGCGGGTGGACATTCCAGGAACGAATCCTTTCCCCGCGAGTTCTCCATTTCTGTGGCCACGAACTGGTCTGGGAATGCAAGCATCAGGCACTATGCGAATGCGGGGGTTTCGCTGCGAAACAAAATGCCCTGGAGCAATATTCTCAGTTCATCAAGGAGACAGAAGCGCCAACACAGAGTCAATTGACTGACTCCCCTTCTTCCAAGATCGAATCTGAAGATAGTAGCGTAAAAGGCGATAGGAGGTTCCTGTCAGAGCAATGGCATCATTTCGTCGAACAGTATTCAGCCTTGAACCTTACACACGAGACCGACCGACTACCTGCCTTATCAGGTCTTGCAAAACGAGCCTCTTCTGTTCTGGGAGTCTATGTTGCAGGTCTCTGGAGCGAAACATTTGTCACCAATCTAATGTGGCGAGTCGATAAGCTTGACGAAAGACGCGCGCCACCTACCAAGTACATTGCGCCTTCGTGGTCATGGGCCTCTGTCAACGGACCTGCAACATACTGGCCAGATCTGAACTTAATTCTAAAAGAGCAACTACACGCCATCAAGAGGATTGATCATATCAAGGAATGGTTCACGAAAGAACTCAACCGGGAGTTGCTCCGCCTGAGGTTTCTGAGGCAAGCCTTATCACGAGCTGGAACGGTTTATAACTCCGGTTTCACGTTCCTGCCAGTGGGCCATCTAGTCAAATCAGCCAGCAAGAATCCTTTCGGGTCCGTCTCATCAGACCAGTCGTCCTCGTACGACATACCCATCCGGCTACTCTCAGATACGTCTATACCCGCCAAGGATACGGTTCCGGCTATGGACGTCGAGAGGTCGATAAATTGAAATATAGCTTGCAAATTGATAAGATTTTGACCCAAACGACGAACGGACTGGGACAAATAGAGCTCCCATTCTATGCCGACTACATCTTGTCCGAAAAGGGTCCACATCACCTAGAGGAGCTCCATCGGTTGTACATAATGGTTTTGCATCCCGATGTGTGTTTGGTATTGAAGCGGGTTCTGCATGGAGGAATCGGAGCAAATGACTTGTTGTTCTCGACCTATAAGAGAGTTGGAATTGTGAGGCAACCTAGGGCGTACATGGAAACGTACATGTTTGACTGGATGTCGGGTTCGAAGCAGGAATTGATCATGATCAATTGAGTGGGTTGGAGAGAGGAAAAACCCGGAAAGTGGCCCTTGGAGTGCTCGCCCCAGTCATTGATCGAATTTCGGTCTGTTGCACGTCGCAAAAAGGGCATTCATGCAAGAAAGAGGGCAATATTGGGCGCCAAACCACCCTCGTACCACACTCCTACCAAATCAGCCCAGTTCGAGAGAACAACGCTGCGGGTTCGCTGCTTCAAATCAAGCGAGCAGATTGTGGAGCAGAAATGAGGAGACTTAGGAAACTTTGTTGCAAGTCGTGAAAAGGGCATTCATCGAGGGCGACCAGTGAAAGAATGCCAAGTTGAGGGTAAAGAGCGGTCTGGGGGCCCAAAGTGGGACGAGATTGGGCAGAGAAGGAAAGCTGCATGAGGGGGCGCACAACCACCTCAATAATTCTCGCAGCTCACTTGAACTCCAAAGTAAGGAGATGCACGACAAA